GCCCGGTCACGCATGTCCCCAGTGAGGTGCGGTCAGGAGGTGGGACTTGTGGTGCTCAACCTTATGTGTGTCAGCCTCCCTCGGTAAACAGTTGAAAATTTATTGTGCCCGGACGCACGACCCACTACCTTGGTCCATTAGCGAGGAAGGGTGTCAGAGCGGCTATTGGAGGGGGGGGGCGCGCTGGGGGGGTGCCTTGTGCCGTCTCCCAATGCCGCACCTGAGAACTTGAGAAGGAGACAGCGAGAAGAGCTCGCTGTCACAGTGATGGCCGTTGCCGGTAGGATGGCCGAGGATGCGTTTCAAAGCGTTGATGTGCTACTGGGTTCCCGGACAAGGAGACCGCTGCTGTTGGGGCCTGAGTCCGATAACACCCTGTTCGGCGGTCCGGGAGGAGAAGACGATGACGAGCACGGGTGGGGAGTGCATAGTCTACCTTGCCTGTGGCCAACTATTGTTGAAATCTGCAATCTTTTACCAAGGTGTTTGCCTAGGTGGTGGTTCATGAGGTGGACAGCTGGATTATGGAACGATCTTCTTCCCTCCGATGACGCCGAGAACGATCATTACATAGGGTTGCTGTGCATGCGTCGTTCAACATTCAATAAACTGCTGCGAAAGGTCAGTCCACTTCTGGAGAAGCAGGTGGCAAGATTCAGGTTGGTGGCAACGAAACTGGCTATGTGTCCGAAATCGGATTCAACGGGGGTTTTGAGTTGAACGGTTCAACTCCCATTCAACTCCCGTTGCAACTCCGCGTGAAACCGAGTTGAACGTGGTACAACTCGGCCCGCGGATTTTTTTTTTGCAGGTAAAACATAAGCGAAAATAATAAATAAAATATGGGGGTGTAGATTTTTTTGCTCTCTACATCCCCATATTTTTATTTTTATTTTTATTTTTTTAGCATCAAAATTATTTTAAAAAAATAAAAAACAAAACCAGACTCAAAACAGAGAAATTTTCTTTTCTTTTTTTGATTGATTGATTGATTGATTGATTGGTGGGGGATGGGTCGCCCCCCCAACCCCCACCCAATCTCTCACATACACACACACACACACACACACACACACACACACACACACACACACACAATC